GTGTTACTAAAAGCGTAGCTACCTCCGATAGGGTCGTCCAAGTGGGGCCCACTCTCAGGAGCCCATAGAAGCGCACGAGGACCAATGACTCACACTCCGTAACATCAGCATAGAATCCTCCTTGGAACATCCATAGTGGATCTCCTACACTCAACATGTGTAGCTGCTCCCTTCCTAGCACCAGGTTTGGAACCGTACTAGCGTTAACAATAACGTGGCTACCTCCGATAGGGTCATCCAAGTGGGGGCCCTCTCTCAGGAGCCCATAGAATCGCACAAGGACCAACGGCTCACGCACTGCAACCCTAGTCAAGGAACATCCTTGAGCACGCAACATATGCAACAATTCCCTAACTGATCTTCCCGTAAGCGACACGTCCCCCGCAAATCTTGGGAGACCTTCGGTACGGGGTCCCTGTTGCCTCACAATGCCCCTTTTAACAACAGGGCCAGCTCCTTCCTCACCTAATCTGTCAGTGAGGGGTGTGCTGGGCGCCTTACTATCACGGACAGTAAGACAGGTCAGTGTTTCCATGGTACCCTGGAAGCCATCAGACCTTACCCGTCCCTCACCAAATCTGGGCAAGGGGTTAGGGCGTTGGTAACCTTGACAATCAGCGTCATAGATCACCCTGAATGTCAAGCCTTCGGAGCAGACGATACCCTTGTGAGTTGATGGTAGCATGCACGGGTCGTCGTTATCACCCTTCTCATCCATATCACCAGTACCAGACTTGTCGACCGTATCCGCGTTGGCCGGTGCAGATAGGCAGGCCGTAGTCTCGCTACTCCTTGGACATAGATACTCGCTTAGAAGATCCTTAAGCTTCCCCTGTTCAGCTTGTGTGACCCTCATATCGGGCGCCTCCGAGTTCCCCAGGACCGTAGACATACCGCCCCGGATATCTTGACATTCTGGACCACACTCTGTTATAGTGTGAGCGCCTAGTTGCGCACTTCTTGCAATCTTGATCTCTTGAGGTTTCGTAATGACGGTCGCGAGATCGTTGGTTCCTAAGTGAGACGGTGCTCCTTAAGGACAATTATTGAGTCTTAAGGATCGAGCTAGCCTTTATTGTATAGCCTATATTCCATTGGTGGTGTGTGAAATGGTTAGAGCATTTAGAACCGTTTCGGTGTTGAGAGGATGCTTGAAACGGCTCGACCGTTTCGCCCATTACGGTTTAAAGATGCTTGCAACATCTGTTGTTATTGCTCTACTGTTCCGTGAGGTAATTATCCACTCGTATAAACGTTAGGGGATAATATCGCTGTTGTTCTATACTGCATTCTTTTTGCAGTATTGTTATTGCCGAGTTATACTCACGGGTTTTCACACTTTCCTATGGTTGACAATTTGGACAAGGCTATTACTAAGGTGGTTGAATTGGTTTCAGAAGGTCGTATTTTGAAGCCAGAAGATGTCTTGGCCATGATCGACGACGTTGACTACTATGCAGAGGCCGAGCTTGTGTCCAAAATGGTCGAGGAAACCAAGAAGAAGGGTATGGACTTTGCTGTTCACTGTATGGCTTCTGGTATTAAGATAGATGCGCCTGGTGAAGGGTCTAACCCTGTTATTGAAGAGATAAGGGACTTCGTTTGGAAGGCTAACGTCGACTTTGCCAAACTGACGAAGACGGTTACGTTTAAGGGTCCTATTGTTCGCTACGAGTACTCCCGTGAAGTTAAGCAGGGTTGTTACAATGACTCTAAGTTTAAAGGTCCTCGGCTTACTAGTGGCGGTCTGTCTTTCGCCGTTACACCTTTGATAAGGCGAGGTATGTTCAACCAGTTCGAGCAAGAGGTTATGCATCTGACTCTCGTTAAGG